GTGCCACTTATGGCTGTTTCTGTTTGCATGGATCGCCTGTTTTGTCTGTACGGCCGTCGTATTGGTACTCAAGTACGCGATTTGGTTGTGCCGGTCGTACACCACCACCAAAGAGAAGACCATTTGATCGACAAATGTCTTGAAACTGATCGCATAGTTGTTTGATTTACTGTAAAGTACTATACGATGTATTTATACAGTAGTACTGTATATGCAGTAAATCTAATGTTATATTATATTTGTATTATAAACTTGAAATTATATTTTTAAATTATTTAATGAATTAACAATTTTATTGATAAACTCTTGTGAAGTGAGAAATTAATTAACAAGACTATTTTGTGAAAATAATTGCAAACTTATGAGCGCACACATACACTCCCCGTTCGCTATTTTTAATAATATAATCATTTCAAATGATTTGTAATAATTGTTATGCTTATAAAAAATTGTTATTATATTTACACTAAGACAAATAACTTGTTTGATTAACATTAAGTTTACATTTTATAAAGATTTATGAAAAATTGTAATTTAATTGTTAAAATAATTAATACTGTTAACATATACAATATTTAAATAAACAAAATTTGCATATTTTCCAAACATTTGTAAACTGTTTTGTGTGTTGTAAGTTAATTATATGAATAAATGATCATAATATTAGTTAGCATATGAATTAATACTTATTGATGGAAAGGGATGAAACTGCCTGTGAATAACTGGGCGGTAATTCATACTTAGGAGGCAATGAGAATTCCGACGGATTTAGCGATAACTGGGAACCGCTTCGGACGGGTGTCCTAACATTAACGGGTACTTCCATATTATAGACACTACTCTGTCGACTGCTCACCTGTCCGTCCAATTCAATGAATGAATCGGTTGTGCGGTATTTGCTCATACAATACGCGTACAGAAGTTTCAAAAATATAATTATGAGTATAATTGTGAAAAAGTATGCAAAATATGTGCTCCGCGGTTGCACTGACTTTGGAGACATAAATAAAAATATTATTACAAATATAAGGCTTAATATGATTATTAAAATCCAATTTGTTTTGTTCTGATATACGTTTAGAAATGTCGGGGAACTGAACCTATGAATAAAAATTTAGAATTAAAAATTGTTTTTTAAGATGTATTATAAGAAAAACACAGTTAAACGACAATCATATCATAATCTCTTTAACATCTTAGCCCTGATAATGGTCTCAGTGTAGACCGAAAACGTTCAGCTATTATCTTAAAATTTTTTAAATGCCTTTTCACTGATAATCAATAAATTATTAAAACACTAAACTCTTATAAGGATAACATTTGAGGGAATCATAAAATTCTATAACAAGGGTTAGAATTTCATATTTCGTCACTTATTTTAATTCTGGATTTTCATGAGAAATGAGTTAAGAGTCTATAATTGACTCAACGAATGATTAACAGCTCAGCTATTTATGTCAAACAGAATATTCTTCATTCACTTACAACTTAAGCACGTAATCCTCTGAAGTGATTATAATATTTGAATATCACTTATGAAATGATTCATTTCACTAACATAAGAATTTAGATAAATTATAACAAAAATAACTATATATACTATAAAACATTAAAAAATATATTTACATGTGGTGGGCACCTGCACCATTCCCTCGATATACCAAAACAGGCATCAGATGAGATGGTTATTCAATAATAAACACCAAACAAGTAGTTATGTGAGAATTGGATCTAGGCTGATTTCATTAACTCTAGTAAATACAAAGACTTTAATAAACAATTGTTTTGAAAAATATATATTTAAGCAAAACATTGTGGGCTAAAAAGTCATAAAATTTATATGGCTATTACATGTGGATTACATAATATCTTATAAATAGTGGTCTTAAATGAGAGACAGTTCTCGTATATGCAATGAAATAATTTTGTGAGCCTTTTAAATGTTGGCGTCATTTGCAGGGATCGATCGCAATGTTTTCCAGACCTCATGTAATCACATGTGGAAAATGAGATTTTTATTGATTTAGTTTTAATCTACTCATTGCAACACCGCTTTCATTATAATTATTCACTGTTTTTCTCTAAAACACTGAATTCAATTCAGAATCTATTAAAGCGTTTAT